ACATCCCAAACTTACCACACTGACTTGTTATTTACATGGCTTGTTTCCAATGGCCATGCCAGATGTGGTGGTGCTGGCCTATAATCCCAGTGAATAGGGAATCTGAGGCAGGAAGATCGCAAGTTCAAGACTACCCTCAGTAACTGAATGTGACTTTTTCTCAAAATAAAAAAATAAAAATAAATAAATAAGTGATGGAAATGTAGCTCAATGGTTACGGGAATGGGAATATTTGCATAATTTTTACCAAATGAGCATGTTTAATTCAAAAATTTAAAATGTGAAATGTTCCAAAAGCCAAAACTTTATAAGCATCATGTCAGTGTTCAAAAAGTTTCAGACTTTGAAGCATGTTGAATATTGGATTAGGGATGTTTCACCTGTCTCATTCAAATCAGAGATAGAAAAGAAAGAAAGTTATGTGATAAGAAACTAATACTAAACTAAACTAGTAGCTTGTCTAAAAATGCCTGACACTGGCTGAGTCCATTTCACATATTCTGTCATTTAGTCTTCACCCTAGGAAGGACATACTTCAATTTGATAAGTCAGGAAATTAAGACTGAAGGAGTTCAAAATCACACAAAAGTTAGTGAAGACAGGATTCAATTTCTAGAACCTGTATTCTTTCTATCACATTGGTACAAATTCAGCTTCTCAGAGGTTGAGAGGTGGGAACAGCCACACCCAGAATGAAACAAGAGAGGTCACCAATGGATGAAACTTTGAAGTCTTGGTGGAGAAATGGGGTGCATTTTTAGATGAAGGAATACAGGTAGGAATGGGTTAAACTTCAAAACTTGTGAATAGAGCATAGAATGATCCTGGAATAAGTAGAGCATTTGCGAGGAAAATTCATTGTAAGAGAAAGTTGAGGCTATAGTAGGGGATGTGGGAACTCTATTTCCAGTAGGTACCACTATTAGAAAAATAACAAGAGCATATATCATACTAATGATTGGACCTGAGCTATCTTTATATCTGAAGAGTAGCAAATAAAAAAATGGTAATATAAGTATTTCAAAGCCTTTAGATTATTATGATTTTAATATAGACATGTACTTTTATCCAAGGAAGCAATACAACTACAGAAGTTGCAAGTGTCCTTCATGTCAAATTAACATCATAGAAGAAACAAGTAAATAGATATATTTCACAAATGTAAGTCATAAGTGATTGCATCCATTAATCTTTTAAATTATTTACATCATATTCTTCAGACATACTTTTGATTTTAACTAAGTACATGAATTGCCCACCTTGTTCATTTTGTGAAGTCTGATAATCAAAACACAAGATAGCCATACTTAAAAGCATTGTGGTTGTTTTATTCATGTGTGTTTGGTGATGGTTTTACTTATCAAGATTATATTTCAAATGACTCTTATAACTAATTGTGTTCCAATGACTAAATTAAATTGAGACTGACTGATCATTTAGATGGTAACATCACAAATCTATCAGGAGTCTAAAATGAAGACAAGGCCTTACATAGATCATCTACAGATCAAAGAAGTCCTAAACATATTTTTAAGACCACTATTTTTAAGTCTTTTGGACATAGGTTTCCCTTAAAGCAATTCTATGAGCTTAAATTTTATGGCAAATACAACCTTAAAGCTGTATAAAAAAGAAAAAATTCCCTACATTGAAATTAGTGGGGATGTTGGTCTAATTAGTGAAAATTCTTTAATGGCATTTATCGCAAACTGAGCTTTTGGACTTCCACTTTTACATAATAAGTTAATATCCAATAATGTCAAACAGAGATACCTAGGGCCCCTGTTAAATGAATAAATATAAATTTATTTGACATACTATTATCAATTAATAATACAGCAACAGGTGCTATAAAATATAAGTATTTGGCTTTGAAATTTTTCCTACATTTTAAATTTAGAAAATTAATCATAGATAATATATTTACACATTTATCTAACCAATGTCAGAATTACCACAGAATGTAAATTAGCAGGATTCAACTCTTCACTATTCTATGGACCATTTCTTATTTTAGGACAAGAGGTTGATGGGCCAGACAGGAAGTAAGGCATGCTCTCTCTAATCCTCTAAACCTTTAAAAGAACCTCAAATACCATATTCTTCTTGAAGTCTCAAAGACATTCAAATATAGAGCAAAAAGTGATATTATAAATGACCTTTGTCTGTTCTTCTTACTTAGAGATGAACAAACTGAGACCCAAGAGAGACAAAAATTGATGGTTTTGAATGCATATATGATAAATTAAGGGTCAAAAATCAATGATTCAGAAGGCATTCCCATCAAAAAGTTTAAAAAAGAACAATACACTGAGTCTGGAGAAAATAAAAGGGTATAATAAAGACAAAAGCAGGAATTATTGAAATGAAAAAGAAACATAAGAAAAGAAAGGGTTAACAATTCCAGAAGTTGGTTATTTGAATAATAATAATAACATCCTAGCAGAATTGATGGAGAACATAGATAATCAATGCCAGGTGTAATTATGGAGATATTATTACCTTACATTCCTGGGATAAAATCTACTTGATTGACATATTATATTTCTATATTTCCTTGAATATGATTTGTTAATACTTGTTAAGAATTTTCACATCTATATTCTTAGCTTTTGTCTGAAAATGTCTTTTATTTTATATTTGAAGAGTATTTGTGCTGAATGTACTATCCTACTTTTTGCTTGTTGCTTTAAAAGTAACCATTTCGTTGAATTATGTTTTTTTATATTTATTCTCCATGAAAAGTCAGTAGTAATTTTTATCATTGTTATACTGTATGTATTATGGCTTTCATTCCCTCTGGTGGTTTTAAAGATACTTCTATTAGTTTTCAGCAATTTGACATGATGTGCCATGCTGTGGCTTCCTGTGTGTTCTGCTGACATTCATAGAACTTCTTAGACTGATGACTTTGTTCTTCATTAAATTTGAGAGTTTTCCCATTATATCTCTTATAATATATGCTCTGTCCCATTTTTCTCCTAAAATCTTTGAGATTCCAGTTGCTGATATGTGAAGCTGCATTTTTTAAAGTTGTCTTTTCTATACTGAGGATTTCTATTCCCCCATTATTCTCATTTCCCCTCTTGTAATGCTTAAAAATGTTTATGGCAACAGTTTTATAGTTCTTGCCTGCTAATTCTACCATTTTTTAGCTTTTTTAGTCCATTTCTTTTGACCAATTTTCCTGTTTCTTTGTATATCTAGTAATTTTCTACTGAAGGCTTGACATCATTTAATGGCATGTTGTGAAGTGTTTAGATTTTTCAGTCTTTCTTAGTTGAGTGTTCAGTTTTGTTCCTATCTTTTCCTGTCTACTCAAAATCCATTCTTTTTATTTTTAAAGCCATTTTGTATGAGAAAGAACTTCTAAAACTGAAGCACCTTTGCTTTTTTTTGAGACTTATTGTTAAACTTTTTAAGGGTGAGTATATAGTAACTTTAATTAGAGATAGACTAATTCTACTTCTAAAGCATAAGCTTTATAAGATATTTTCTGGAAAACAGAGGGTTTAATTCAGGCTGCCAATCATGCAGGAGTTCTGACAGTTGTTCAGACTGCAGATCTCTGGTGGTTATTCTTTTCCAAGTGTTTATGAATTTTGTCCAGGTTTATAGTTGTTTATTGTGGTAGTGCTAATCTGGTACATTAGTCTGCCATAGCCAGAAGTATATATCCCATGAGGGAGTTTTTAGCCATATCTCAACTTTCATTTGATCCTTTTTTCTTTGTCTTTTGACATAGTAATTGCCTTCTACTTTCCTATAATTCTCTAAGAACTCATAATTATTTAGCAAAAGACCCAAACCAGAAAATAATTCTCAAAATTCAATCCAATGGGCCTGGGCATGATGGCACAAGCCTGTAATTCCAGAAGGATGAGACAGGAGAATTAGAAGTCTGAGGCCAGCTTTAGCAACTAACCTGAACCCTAAGCAACTTAGCAAAACCCTGTCTCAAAAAAAAGGGGGGGGGGGGGGGGGGGGGCTCAGTGGTTAAGTGCCCCTGGGTTTAATCTCTAGTACTATGAAAAAAAAAATCAATCCAATGTTCTTGTCACTGTACAATGTCTTTTGTTTCCTGGAAGTAAAATAACATTCTAAACTAGTTTTAAGTTGCTCAAAACTTGATATATTTCTCTCCTTCTCTCTCCCCCTTCCTCTTTCCCTCCCTACTATTCTGTTTCATTTTTCTGTTTTGAGTAGATCTTCTGGTTATATTTTTTAAAATATGGAACAGGTTCACTAATACAGCTAAAAAATGATCTATGCTGAGAAAATTTGCTTAAAAGCTATTACTGAATGAGTACTCTGACCACACAAAACTAAACAATCCAAAAAGTGTTTTAAGATAAAAAACACTACTAACATACTTCTTCCACATGTCTGTATTCTTCATTTCCTACCTGAGAGCCATATAGTTTGCTCTTCCTCCCTGTGAGCTATTTTAGCTTCTTGTTAGATGAATAGACTTAGGCTCCACTTACTTTTCTTCTAATTTAAGTGCCTCAATGTTGATGAGATCTGCTCCTAGAATGTAATGTTCATCACTCTCTGTCCACAAAAGATCTATTAATTCATATTTATAAAGTATTAGTCACTTTAAAAATAAATATAGTATGGTTTTATTACCTTTTAAGGAGAAGATAGATAAGAGCAGAGGAATAGGAATGAAACTAGTTTATAAAATGGGCCTTTAAGGAAGTATATTTAGGCCTGGTGTGGTGGTACATGCCTATAATCCCAGATACTTGGCAGGCTGAGGTGGGAGGATAGCAAGTTCAAAGACAGTCTGGGCAAGTTAGCAAGGTTGCCTCAAAATAAAAAACTAAAAAGGGATGAAGATGTATCTCAGTGGTAGAGAGAATGCCTAGCATGGACAAGGCCCTGGGTTCACCAATATGGGGGATGGGATGGAAGGGAAGTATATTTAAATTGCACTAGGTAAAAGATGAATAATTTAATCAGATTTTAAGAAGTGGTGGGTCTAATACTCTTACCTGTGAAGTTGGATATATTCTCGTGGTCTGTTGAGCAGGTGAAGAAATCTGTCAACAATCTTGTTTTTTCCTACACCCTGTAATAATTACACAGATAGTATTATACAAAAAGGGACTTTTGTTTTGTTTGATTCTTCTGCCAAACCAGAAGAATCTTTTATAAAAACCTATTTTCCCAAAGTTGTACTATTTTAGTTTATTATTAATGAAAACCAAACTAGCAAAAACATATAGCACAATTCTCATATGAAATAAGGTTTCTGTCAAAAATTTACTTCTAGATATATTAATTCTAAGCTCTTCTGTTTTAAAGGGAAATCCATAAGTTAGTCTCCTACATATTAATTATTTTGTTCTACAATTTTACAATGAAGTTCAGACATTACAGCAGAATATTTATTCCAGATTTGAAGAATGACATTAGAGTGAAATCATTTATGTAGGAAAAAAATGGTTTTTCTAATCAGTTCTTTAGAAATATGGTTCTCAGTTACAGGAAGACAACCAATACTATACATTTTCTGCTTTAATCAAACACTCACTTCTCCTTTTATCCTATTTTCTACTCCTTTAAAACCCTAGAAAACGAAAATTGTAGCCAAGATATATTAATAAAACTCAACTCTATTTGATCTCCTCTGAAATGCCCTCATTTCTTAGCCACTTACTCATCCCAGGAGTCGATGTCCTTTCTAGAAGACACACTACTAAAAATGGAATCTGCTCTGGTATAATTTCCCTATTTTAAAGTTTTCACTTAGAGGTGGAATACAAATGAATCTTTTAACAATTAGGTTGTATGTAAAAAGTAGAAGTCACTAAAATGTGCAGTTTTATATCATAGGTGACAGCAATAATGTATTAATTTCTTATACTGTGCTAGTATTTTTCACATTATTTCATTTAATCATTACACTGAGACAGTCCCGTGAAAGAAGATTATTCTTATTTCACAAATCAAGAAACTAATGCAACAGAGGAAAGATAGTAGAAGTGAGCTAGGCATCAAGTCCCAATCACCTCACAACACAGAAAGGAGGCAGCAAAGGAAAAGCATGACTGAGAGGTGGGTGACAAAATAAATGCTTGATACTACATAGTCTGGGACCTGGAGAGACTGGATGATAGGTTACCAGAGAGGAAAATAAACTCAGAGTGCCCTAACTCTATCCCAAACCTGTGGATAAGGAAAAGGGGCAACAGAGAAAGAAGGGTTTGTGGGGGTAAGGGAGACATTCTCTTAAGTTCTACCATTTAAAAACTGTTGGAAAGAAGAAAAAAAAATACTTAAAGCACAACAGTAACAGAAAGGTCTCTAAAACAGCTCAAAGAGCTTAAAAGAAAACTGAGCCAAGGGTGGCAGCCATCTTGTGGAGCCCTCAGCCAACCAGTTAACCCCTTAAATCAGCAGGTTGTCTTCTCATACCCAGACAGCTGCAAATCACACCAGAAGGAAGTCCCCTGCAGTAGGACCTCTTAAAAATCCTATGAATCCAGCCAGAAAGAGCTTAAAAAGTATCACTATTGGCCAAAAACCTCTAAACCCCTCCCTCACCCTTGCTCCTCACCTCAAACAAAAGGACTGAACCAGCTGGAGGGGACCTGTACTGGGAAGTGTACCTAGTCCAGCTAAACTCTGCACAATGTCCAATTGCTTGCCTTGGACAGACAAGAATGAAGCAGCTTAGGCCCTAAACAAAGGAAAGTGGACTTACTAGGCCTTGATCACTGACACTGGGGGGAGGAACCCTGGGAAGCTTAGGGAAAGTCCCTAGGATCACAGGCCTTACCAGAGGGGAGCTGACTAAATATCCAGTGACATAAAAGATCCAGCAGGAAATTACCAGTCTATGCAGCAGGAAGAGGCTGATACCAGCCTTAACAGGTAAGTCATGATCACAACTGGCAAGTGACAGGGCATTGTTTGTATACTTAGGAAAACTTGCATCAGACTTAGAAAGCACAGGGAATCAACGCCCACCATTCACAACCTGGAGCAACAAGAGTCCAGGTTAACCATGAGAGACAGGTTAACCACAAGAGACCCTTACCTACAATACATCAGAAAGCCACATCACCAGGGAGAATACTTGTTCACCACACTTCTGCACCACAGAACACCCACGGAAAACCCACAACCAGAGTTCTTGCACTCAAAGACATCCACCAAGATCTTTACTAGTGAAGAGGATCCAGTAGAGGGGAGCAGATACACAGTGGTACACAGCAACCAGGGGCACTTCAAAGCCTGCATCCTGAACTACTGCATACAATAGAAGCAGCCAAGCACAACAATGCACCCTCTAAGCAGTCAGCTGCTGGCCCCAGAACTGACAACCCAGAAACTTCTGGTAAGAGGAACATAGCAAATATGGAATTGGCTCCTGTGTCCCCGTAACTCAGGAAAGACTCATATCCAAAGACTGATGGAAATCTGTTAAATGTCAAAATCCCAATGAAACCCAAATCAACATTCAACAAGAATTTTCTTCACCTTGACATATTATACTATAAACAACTCTAATTTCAACTTTTTTGCAGGGCAAAGAAAGACCAGGCATGTAACTCAGGCACACTTAACCTCTGAGCCACATCCTTAACCCTTTTTTATATTTTTATATAAAATATAATAGGTAGGATCTCACTAAGTTGCTTGAGGCCTCGCTAAATTGCCGCAGCTGACATTTAACAATCCTCTTGCCTCAGGAACCAGAGCCGCTGGGATTATAAGGATGTGCCATAGTTTCATGTATTTCAACTTTGATCATATAAATAACTCCTTAACTGAACAGAAATTGCTAATACAACAGGCAGCACTGTACCTTTAACTGATTTGAATGTATTTCATCTAATGGTATAAAACATTAATTGGAATCAATCTTCCTATCTTTGTTTTCCTATATCTCTCTTGTTTATACCTTTTTCTTTTGGCTTAAATGCTACTACCTCAAATTACACCCATTCATCTATTTCTATTTTCAACTTTGGTGTAAGTTATCCTTTCATAGTTTCTACCTCTCCTTCCTTCCTTCCTTCTCCTTCTCTCTCTCTCTCTCTCTCTCTCTCTCTCTCTCTCTCTCTCTCTCTCTCTCTCTCTCTCCTTCTCCTATTTACCCAATCTTTCTTCTTTCTCCCTTTTAGCCCTCACTTAAGGTTATATTAAGTTCACCAAATTTACCAATTAATTTTTGACCTGTTCCAGAACTTTACTATAGGTTTATATCTGAATTTAGGAAATGCAGAGAAAAACTGCAACAAGATTTTGGTTCTTAAAAGGCTGAACAGAAGGAAGATTGGCTCAGAAGTGACTAGAGTAAATACATGACATGTTTTTAAATGGTGCTGATATTTCTATCAGCAAAGGTCATACATTCACTTAAAACATAATTATTTGGATGTTCACCCAACCCAGGGCTCTTATGAAAAAATACTCTCACAAAGTAGTTTGTTACTTGAAAGAAGTCAGAACTATACTGATAGATGGATAGACACAAAGACAATATGAAAAAGCTTCAACAACAGACCTTCAAACACCCATAACGCTGGACACTTCGGTAGAAGAACTGTCTGAGAAAGACATTAGAAAGTTTGTAGTTAAACTGTTCTATGAGCTAAAATAAGATGTAAGGTATAAAATTAGAGAGAAAATACAGGAAGTGAAAGATCACTTCAATGAAGAAAAAGATACGGAAAAAGAACCAGGTAAAAATCCTCAAATGAAGGAACCAATAAACAAAATTAAAAATTTAATGTAAAGCATCACCAATAGGTTAGACCACTTTGAAGACAGATTTTTTAGGCCTCAAAAGCATACTATATAACCTTGAAAATAAAGTCAACTATAGAGAAAAGATGTGAAGAGACCATGAAAGAATATTTAGGAACTCTGAGACAACATTAAAAGGCCAATTTTAACATACATTGGGATAAATGAAAGCTCTGAAATATAAACTAAAGGAATGCACAATCTTTTCAATAAAACAATATTGAAAAATTTCCCAAAACTTAAGAATGAAATGGAAATTACAATACAGAAGGCATATAGGACTCCAAATATACAAAGTCATAATAAAGTCACTCCAAGAAACATTATTATGAAAATGCCTAACATACATAATGAGGATTTATTTTAAAAGCTACAAGAGACAAATAGTTAATAATGCTCACATTTAGAGGGAAACCAATACAGATCTTATGATTTCTCAACCTAGACTCTAAAAACTAGGAGGTCTTGAAATAATATATACCAACCTCCAAAAGAAAATGAATGCCAACCAAGTATATCAACCCAGCAAAATTAAGCTTCATATTTGAAGGTGAAATAAAAATCTTCCATGATAAACAAAAGTTAAAACAATTAACAACTAAAAAACTGTACTGTAAAACATACTCAATAATATATTTTCATGAAAAATACAAATTAAAACTAGCATAGGAAGGAAATACACTAGAAAAATACTCAACTAAAGGAGAATTAAATCCAACTTAAACACCAAAAATAAACCAAATGATATGAAATAAAACTCATCTTTTTTGGGCTGGGGTTGTAGCTCAGTGGTAGAGCACTTGTCTACCATGTGTGAAGCACTGGATTCAATTCTCAGCACTGCATATAAAATAAGTTAAATAAAGACCCATCAACAACTAAAAACTATTTTTTTAAAAAAACTCATGTATCAATAATAACACTGAATATGAATGATCTAAACTCTGCAATCAAAGACAAAAGTTGGCAGATTGGACTTAAAAACAAGACCCAAAATACACTGTCTGCAAGAGACTCACCTCACAGTCAAGGACATACAAAGACGGAAGGTGAAAAAAAACATACAACTCACGTGAATTTCATTAATAAGCATGGGTTACTAGTCTCATATCACATAAAGTGAACTGCAAGCCAAATTTAATCAGGAGAAACAAAGAAGGTCATTTCATACTGTTGAGAGGAATCATATATCAACAAGATATAACAATCATAAATATCTATGTCCCAAACAATGGACCACCTACATACATCAAACAAGCCCTTCTCAATATCAAGAATCAAATAGACAACAATACATTAATTCTGGGTGAC